CTCTAATTCCCTCTTAAACAACAACAAAGAACAAAAATTAAATTCTTTTACTTTAGATTGCAGCCCTAGAATTTTTCCGGGGTTGCCTGACTTTGGGAAGTACCTCTGCGCTGGTTCATCCCCTCTCGACAAAGTTGTTTATTTTCCAAGGGGTAAAACATCGACACACAGCTCTTGGTTATCAGGTCGCACACATGCTGCCGTACATAAGACATTATCTCCCAAGAGCTGCTATTTGTTTAGGCCCCAGGAGTTGACTGATTATGGCCCATTATTGTAGCCCTGGTCCTGTGTTGTTCAGTGTGGATTGACTCGTTTTTGTGGACTTGTTCACATATTCCCATCTGCTGGGAGTCACTGCACAGTGGATATTTTTGACTTGGCCATTAATACTGCATGATGCTTGAGCAAGTGCATGATGCCAGCTTTATACTCCACACTGTTGGTTGCAAATCAGATTGCAGTTGTTAAATACTAAAGCAAACTGGCCTTGTTGTGCTACAGTGCTTTTAATGGTTTAAGACTTTCATAAAATGCCTAATTAGTTTGCAGAGATCCTTTAATGAATATGGTGGAGATTACTTTTTCTTTGTAAACTAGGAAAGAACAATACATCAGTATCATATCATTAATATTATTTTATTAATCTAATGGTTTCAGTTAATATGGGATATTTAATTGCTATTTTAAAAATATAATGTAATATTTAAATATAATACTTAGCATTAGTCAATCTCAAAATAAATATACATTTTTATTATAATGTTATAATAAAACACTATATTATAATGTACTTATTGTACTTATTATAACAATACATTATAATGTTGTGATGCTTAAATTCACTTGTAGCATTTAAAATGGCCGATTCAATTCAAAAGTTCTTATTTTAAAGAAATTAATACTAAAATGAAGGACTCATTAAATTGAGCAAATCTGAGAGTAAATTCATAAGGATTTCTATTCCAAATAAATGCTTTTCTTTTGAACTTTCTATTCATCAAAGAATTCGGAAAAATGTATCATGGTTTCCTCTAAAGTATTAAAATATCAAATAAATGCAGCTTTGTTGAGCGTGAGACTTCTTTCAAAAATGTTTTAAAAATCTTACTGTTCCAAACTTGGTCATATATTGGTCAGAATAGTACAGATTCTTAATACGTCATTTATCAATTATTGACCATAACATAAAGATAATTCAGCTTATCATTATTGTCCAGAATTGTACTCTGTGTGTCCATATCTTAAATGAAGGGAGGATTGCATAGAATATCAATGTTTAGGCAACGATTTATCTAACCACACAAGACGGTCTCATTCTGGACATACTGCATGCTTATTAGATATGAGCACTCATTAATTCGGTGGAGTAATTTTGCAGTAGTTTTGATAGCTGTTGACACATCCTTTTCATGATAAAAATGTCTAGGCCAGGGATAGGTCCTGGAGTGCCGCTGTCCTGCAAGGTTTAGCTCCCATCCTAATCAAACACCTGATCAAGCTAATAAATGTCTTCAGGATTAGGCAAGTGAGTATTTTTTCAGGGTTGGACCTAAACTCTGCAGGACAGCAGCACTCTAGGACCGATGTTGCCTATCCTTTGTCTAGGCTTATTGCTGTTGGGTAATACCTCTGTTTGTCAGAGAGCTGCATGCACTGTCATCTGAAGTGTTTTCGAGAGCTGTTTCTTTAGAACTGGACCCTGAGGGTTAACGGACCTCTTTCTGTAGAAATGGCCTCTGACCCACCCAATAAAATTTCCGTAAAGTTGTTAAAAGACCCTGGAGAGAGGGAGATGGTTGTCAGATATTAGGCCTGTAATAAGTCTCTTAGCCCATTCATCATGAGATGATAATTTCTTGTTTGAAGTTAAAAACATCTTAATGATGGATTTGTTTCTTACAAACATGCAGCTTTTTGCTTTACAGGACATTAATTGATGGATTGGGGTCCTGTGGGTTACTTCTGGATTATTGTGATGTTTTTGTCAGCCATTTGGACTTTCATTCTGATGGCACCCATTCACTTGGTGAGCAAGTGATGTAATGATACATTTCTCCAAAACTGTTCAGATGAAGAAACAAACTCATTTACATCTTGGATGGCCTAAGAGTGAATAAACTGTCCAAATTTTTTTGGGTGAACTGTTCCTCTAATACATCTAATTATAACCTCCTGGTTGAGAAGCACTGCCCTTAAACATCTACTAATTAGTAGGGCTGCACGATTATGACAAAAATCATAATTGTCGATTATTCCCTTGAAATTGTAATTGCGATTATTAATTACGATTATCACAATTTACATTGAATGATGTTTATACCATTGTTTAATGCGACTGCATGCCGTATTTTTATATGAAAATAAACAAGCTGAAAACACTCGAACTGAAAAACTTTGTGATTTTCTATAGTATTGAGCCTCAAATGCCAACTATACATCGGATTGGTTTCTTCTTTAAATTATAAAAAAGTAAAAATATGAATTGTATTATAATGTTATACTAAAACTAAAATTAAAATAATGGGAAAAACCCTTAAGATAACATGTAGAAAGAAAAAAATGCATCTTAAGCATGCAGAATAACATAAGTGGAACAATTAATTGCCGCTTTGAACGATTACGTAATTGTGGCATCCATAATTGTAATCGCAATTAGAATTCGATTAGATTCTTGACTTTCTTACACTTTTTTGCATATTGAACTGTGACTTGTCTTTTCTTCCTAACACCTTTAATGCTAAATACCTTAGCTTACCTAAAACTTTTATACTATTCTTTTGCTGCCTTCAGGTGATGCAAGTCCAGATGTGACGAGTAGTCACAGTTGTACATGCTGAGTGAGAATAATGAGTTGCGTTACTACAGCTGGTTGATCAGGGCATGCTGGTGTCACTGTGAGATCATGTGACTAAGCGAGTGGCAGGAGCTGATAACATCTGCTGAATGAACATGTCTAGGGGCAGCAGTTGGTGACCTCAGGGCTAATAGGGTACCACTGGAGACAGGGACATGTTTTGTGTACCACCCCTACACACATCTACACATCAGTATGTAGAACATAAAGTCATCCGCACATTTTCTTTGATTAAGGCATAGACATACACTCTTATCTTTAAAGACTTGTCTTCCTATCTTTAAAAAAATCAGACATGGTCATAAAATTCAAGCAGTGTGTATTGTAAATAATGGCATCCAGTGTACTTTGTATCTTCTATTACTATATTTAGCCTAAATGTTCCAGTGTTTTACTTAGATGGCATAATATATTATTTAGGAATGTTCCTTCATGACGTCTTGATTATAAGAGCAATTGGAAATGGCCCACGGAGTTTTGATCACGCATTTATGATCACATAACTTTAATTAACTTTGATCAAAAGTAACCGGAAAGACTTTTGTTACATATAAATGACATTTGTTTCAAATAAATGCTGTTCTTTTGAACTTTCTATTCATCAAACAATTCTGAAAAGTGTATAATGGTTTCCACAAAAATATTAAGGAGCACAACTGTTTTCAACATTGATAATAATAAATGTTTCACCAAATCAGCATGTTTTGCAGGCCATTTTTGCAATATTTTTGATCAAATAAATGCAGCCTTGGTGAACATAAGAGACTTCTTTCAAAAACATTAAAAAGTCTCACTGACCCTAAACGTTTGAACTGTAGTGTACATTCATAGAATGTTCAGCTTTCAAAATCTAATATCATTGTAATATTTGCATGTTAAATTGCAATTGCACTTCTTTCTTGCATCTGTTTTTAAAATTATTTGGCATAACTGAACTTGAATAGCTTGCACTGGGCATTTGTAGTGCAGACTGTCTGTTGACTGGCGTCTGGATATTATGGAAGGGCATTTGTTATAATGTAACCTTTCCCCATAGGGAGCACTGTAACACTGTCCCGCTTTTGTAAGTGTGTCACATCATGCCACTGCCAAACTTCCTCAAGCCAGGTAAAGTAGGACAGGTCCCATGTGAAGAAATGTTTTGTCTTTGAGGACTAGTAACAGTAACCAGAGGAAAAAAATGCTGCAATATTTCCTCTTCCTTTAACCATAAGTCAGTAAAAATAAACTTTTTGTCTCTTTTGTTATAGTATGCTTGAGTGACAATAGATGGTGTTTCCTATCTCATTGTGCTGTACTCATGAGGTATTCCAGTTATCTTAAGTTGAGAGAATGCAGGAACCTGGAAATGAATAATACATTACAGGACCTTTTGAATTTATGTATAATAACAAATTAACTTTTTGACCATCATGACCCATCCCTTCTTTGAACAAAGAGCTATTCATTTACCTTATCCTATTAGACTGGCTTATTAAACCAAACAACAATCTTAAAAAACATTCAGGTCTTTCAGGGTAGATTTGTATTAGTGGCATAAAATATATATTAAATCAAATGTAAGCAAGGCATGCCTGAAATGCATATTATACAGGACTGTCATATTAATGAATCCAATTGTGGATGCTGTTGGCTAAGCTCAAGACATAACTTGTTTTCCACAGAACAAGCACTTTAATTCCTGCATCACTTTAGTTCATGTGAAGGTTTCATCCTTTTATCTGTGGAGAATTACGATTAATTTGAGTGTCTGTCAGTAACTACTGCACATAGCCTTCCAGTTTTTGTGAGTAAGGATATCAGAGTCTAAGGGTGTGGGACCGTAGAAGGCATTACATGTGCCTAATACGGACTTTAATAGATAACGGTACAGTCTTATTGTGTAGACTCTTGTCTTGTGCATTCATTCCTGTATGTTTTTATTGTGCAAATGCTTCTGATTCCGTTTGTTACTGTAAGAGTGTTGATTCGACAAATTGGAGGTTGGATTTGTTAATGAAGTGTCATAAACTTCATCCACTGAGTCAGATGTTTTCTGTTCTCTGATGCTGAGAAACTGGTGATGCACAAGGTGATGCTATGTTGTTGTGGTGTGATTGTTTTATAATATTTGTAGATTTATAACGGTTTTATTTATTTTGTTTTTGCAGTTATATGGTTTCAAAAATGTCCTCTAAAATGGTGGGCTCAAACAACCTGGCACATGCTAGGAGGATGGTACAGCAACTTAGAGTCGAGGCCAGTATTGAGAGGATAAAGGTATATTTTCTCTATTTTTTATTTTACATGACTAAATTAACCCTCTGAATTTACCTTCCATTGCTGTGAACAGATCTTTAAAAGCCATTTTATCCATTCTCCATCATGGATGATTACCATTGACCCTTTCCCCATTTTCTCTCCTCTAGTCCTCTTTATGTCTTTTTTTTATTTTCAAATTTATAACAAAATAGCAAACAAATAATTATACTTCCTAGTCAAATATGACTGGCCTTTTAGAAGTATCCTTAAAAAAAATATATCATAATTTCCATAAAAACATGCAGCACAACTGTTTAGTCTTTTATACGTTTAATCACTGATAATCGTCCTGTTATCATTTCCTTACCTTCAAGTTGTTCCAAACCTGTATTCATTTATTTCTTCTGCTGAACGCAAAAGAAGATATTTTCAAGAATGTGGGTAACCAAACAAGTTTCAGTATTTTTTTCACACTATAGAAGTCAATGGGTACCAGCAACTCTTCAAAATATAATCTTTTATGTTCAGTAAAAGAAAGAAACTCATACAGGTTTGGAACAATTTGAGGGTGAGTAAATGGTGACAGAATTTTCATTTTTGGGTGTAACTAGCCTAACTACCAAAAACCGCATATTCGCAAATGGCTGCAATATAACAAAGAGTGAAAAATTTAAGGGAGTCTGAATACTTTCCGTACCCACTGTATATAATATATATATTTTTTTTATATTTCACAATGTTACTGTTTTTTTTATCAAGTAAATGCAGCCTTGGTAAGCATGAGAGTTTTATTTTGAATACATTCAAAAAAATCCTAATGACCCCAAACTTTTGAAAAGGAACGTATACTATTGTTTTGAAATAAAAAGAAACCATAAGCTATGGTTTCTTTGAGATTGAATAATTCAAGCATCAAGGGGTTAAACAAATAAAACAAAAACATGCAAGAACATTTTCACATTCTGGCTTGTCTCATCCAGGTATCCAAGGCCTCTGCTGACCTCATGCGTTACTGTGGAGAAAACGCCAAATACGACCCCCTGCTCATGGGCATTCCTGCCTCAGAAAACCCCTTCAAGGACAAAAAGCCCTGCATTATATTGTAGTGTAACAAGCACTAATCTTATTTAATTACTTCTACTCAACTTTGCCTTAAGTCCAACTCTAGCTCCTTAGTATAACTTTGTGCCATGTCTTAACTGTATTTAGCTCTTACAGTATTTATTACTGTAAATAAACTCCAATCAGTACTAATTAATTGCCATTTTGGTAATGATTAGCATCGCATCTCATCTTTACCAGCATCACTTGTCTACTGTTTGGTTGTTTGGGCCAAACTGAAGTCATTCCGGGAAATTATCCAATAAATCAAGCTGTTTAGAAGTTTTAAAACAGTCTTAAGTTCCTTTTTCCACTGAATGATGCCTTAGTTACACTTTGTGCTTGAAATAGGGACGTAGCACATCACATTATGAAATGTTTGCAATTACATTACCTGATTAAATCTCACTTAACGTTTTGTTTAGATTTAAAGTGCCTTTTCCTTCTGATTTAAATATATCTTTCCTGTGTCAAGCACATTTGTAAAACAAAGACCACTGTTGTTTGATCTTTTCTATGAATTGAATGGATTTTTCCCAAAAAATGGCAGTCGTGAGACATTCATGGTCCAAGCATCCATATATTGATGCTGCAACGTCGGTTTTATTTTGGAGACTTTAGAGAAGTTATGCAGTATTTGAGGTTCACAACCAAATTCCTGTGACCTCAGTATCTCTGTGAAGAAAGAAGTTTCCTTTTGTTCTTTCTGGTGTTTTTTTTTCTGTTCTAATTTCTGTATTTTCGCAAGCCTTCATAACGTGTACTGTACCTTGAAAGAAAGATTTTATTAAAATTGTGAAACAATAAAACTAAGTGCATCGCATATGTTTGTGTTCTTGCAAAGTCTAACGTCAAATAGTTTGTACTATATTAGTGTATCATATGAAAATTTGTCATATGTAAAAGCTGATTTAAAAAATATATATTATTATATGTAAAAGTGCAACTTGGACATTCTGCAAAATATCTCAAATATCAATATATTGTGTTCCACAGAAGAAATAAAGTCATGTGGGTTTGTAATAATACGAAGGCAAGTAAATGATGACAGATATTTCATTTTTGGGTGAATTATCCCTTTATTACATGCAAAGGAATCAAAACAATGTTTGTTCCCCAAGGTTTAGGTGTTACATAGAAACCAAGTAAACTACTGTTCAAAAGTTTGGGGTTAATAAGATTATTTTTATATTTGATATTTATTATATTTTGAAAGAAGTTTCTTATGCTCACCAAGGCTGTATTTTTTTTTTAAATACAGTAAACAGTAATTCAACAATTTAAAATAGTTTTTTTTTTATTTGAATATATTTTAAATTGTAATTTATCGGTGTGATGGCAATTATGTGTAAATGTCTTTACTGTCATTTATGATCAGTTTAATGCATTCTTGCTGAATGAAAGAATTAAGTTATTTAAAAAACAACAACAATAGCAACAACTTTTGAACAGTAGTGTAAAAAGTAGTAGATGATGTTTAAAATTCTTCTAAGCCATTAAAGATGTGACAGAAACGATTGTTATTAAAGGATAATTAATGTGCCGTGGGCTGTATGTTACTCTGAGCTTTAGGAATGGTGCACTGTGATGTAAGTTGTGACAAAACAGCAGTTATATCACCTGGTCCTTGTTATACCTGCTGTCTAAAAATAATCTTTTTAAAGATGTCAGAAAACTGCCTACACAGAGCAGTTATCACCTACAAAATTGAGCGCTTAGCTGAATTTTGATCAGGATTACTTATGGTTCATCTACACAAACAGCTAAGCTACATTTTAAGTAACCCCTAACTGCCATGTTTTGCATTTAGCTTGTCTTTGGGAGATGCATTTTGTTTTCCTGACAAAGTACCTCGTTTTATTCTTGTTCATGTGACTGGTGTTTACCTGCCTTGCATCAGCCTAACAACATTCAAACCTTGCTTCATCACCTTTGTATAGGGAAGTGGTGGGTTACACAACTGATTTACTTGTATGTGGTATCTGGAAACCTGACCCAATATGTGCCAGTCATGTGATCGCAGCCACACTTTCTGAACACTTCCAGACATGTCCCTAGACACTTCCGTTCTCCAGCTGGGCTTGTATAATGGGTTACACATTCTTGCTACGCATTGACTTTTAACCTACATAGTATCAGTTTGTCAAACATAGCACAATTAAGAGCAACTTGATTTACGACAGCAAGTTTGACTGACGCAAGCGTACATTAAACTGAACTTGAGCAATTCATTTCAGCTGAAAAAGGAATCTGATGAATAGATGCAATGGTCACGCTAACTACAGCAGAACAAAAGAAAGGCTTGGATGGCTTTTGTTGGTCTGTAATAGGGAGTCACGAAGGCCACTGAGTCCAGCGTGACCCTGCTGATCTGAGAGGTGTATGGTGTTGTCAGGTCAGTTCTACTAGTCCACTCTGCTTTTCCAGAAACCTCTAACAGAGTAACCCACATGTTGTGTTCAAAAATACTTTTATTACAACACAAAATTAATTTTGCATTTGAATATAACAGTATAAAATGTTTTACATAAATACTTCTTTAAATTAAATGTAAATAATTTAAAGACCACAAAAGAACAATTAACTTATGTGTAAAAAAAAAAAAGTTCTTACAGGATACTGTGGTCGCTTTAAAATAATATATTTTCCAACATTAATAAGTACTAATAGTATACTATTCAAAAATGATAGCAAAAAATACAAAGAACAGGGCAGCCTCTTTTAAAAAATATCACCTCTGATATTGTGTTGCCTGAGAAATATTTCATCCTGTAATTAACTGAAGTGCTTTATGACACCTCACCAATAAACTATCTCACAAGATACTCAGGCGCTCACTTCCATTCACAATTAGCTTCATGTGATGTCCTCAAAAAGTCCCACAAGCAAAGCCAAAAACTGCTGAATCATCTCAGATTGCAAAAGGGTGCTCCTCCTCCAATTTATTCTGTAGCTTAGTCCCTAGTTCCTCCAGTCTGGACTATCAGTCCTTTTTGTGATCACCTTTTTTAGCTTTCATCATTTTTACTAGATATTTGTATCCATGTTTTCCCTTGTCTTTAGCTGTCCTCATCGTTCTGGAAGGTTAATAATGGGCACCCACTGATCCATACAGCGACTCTCTCTGCAGAAGCGGTTCACTTTTCCCATAGCTGTGTTCTTCCATGTGGATGCATGTGGAACCTGTGAACATCAGAAGAAGAGATGGGATTACATTCTGTTTGTGTTTGCTAAAACAGGTCCTGCTGAGTAACTTCAAAGCATTAAGCATCGTCCTTTACAGTCAGCCTTGTCTTTGGAAGGCACACATATGATTTTAAATATTTTTTGTGAATTTGGAATATATCAACATTTTATCAGCCATCATCACCCTGATCTCTGCATATCACTATTGGCCATTAATATGTCTGACACCTTGATTTCCCAAACCATAAATAACGTCCTCTTTTTCCTGCACATGCCCTGACCAGGATTTCTAAATCGAACTATTTAGAAATCCCAGCCAGGACATGTCCAGGAAAAAGAGGACCTGCGACGAGTATGAATAAAAGTGAAGTCAAACTGCAGTATATGGCCATGAATTCATTTGATTCCAATGGAGCAAATTATATGCAAATAGAAGCATGGAACATTAAGAGAAGAAACTCCTATTTGCATAAGAATAAGAACAGAGCAGGATGTGCATGTGGGTGTCATGCACTGGCAGTTACACTGGGACATGTCCTACTTACTAAAAGACATGGCTCACGTGCTGGTTACTGGCCTGTTTTAGCTTTGGATTCATATTTAGATTCTAATCACAGCTAGAATGAATTGTTAACACTTACAGTGACCAGGGTGCAGTGCAGATCCATCTGCTCGCTGCCGTGTATGCCGGCGCCCCCGAGGATGTGCGCGAGGCGACGCGTGTTGTTCACACGCAGAATGTTGATGTCGTTCTCACAGCAGAAAGCCTGAATGAGAGTGAAGTGAATCTGAAGCGCCACATCCTTCACATCATCGTCGTCCGTGGCCAGGATGCACAGCACCACGTTATCAGGGTCCCTAAATAGAAGAGTTGAGATTTGAGTTCGTTTCACTGCACCTGTTGCAATGACATTGAAAACCAATAACACTGGAAGCCTCTAAAGTAAACTTACATATTGAGTGACTGTGCAGCCTCGTAGACCCCAACTGTAATACATCCCTGCGGTAACGCGGAGCGCAGGACCTCCTCCAGAGCTTTAATCACAGAATCCACCCTGTAAAAAACACAATTTGGATGAATAATCAAGTAATAAAACATTAATAAAGTCCAGAACATTGAAGGTTTTTGGATGGCAACGGCTCGTGCAGATTTAAACGGCGGCGGTTGAAAACTATGACAGTAATTCATGTTTTAAGTAAGTAATTAAGTACAGTAAGTAATGTTTAAATGTTTGAGTGAGTAATTTGCCTACGTTCGTCTTACATAAGCCGATAAAATATAAGCAAAACTTATTTTGCAAAAACTTTATAGACCTTAGACCGACAAAAGGTCTCGTGAGCCGATCTTGTGCAGCCGACAGTTTGGCCGGTACGTGTTTGTTCCACAATAAACAGAAATATTACTATATATTTCAAAAATCACTGTTTTTTTCCGGATTCGCACATTATTAATCACTTATTGGTAAAATTACTATAATAATGTTATATGGCTTAATCGCCGAATAAAATTAGAATATTTACCTTTCAACTGAGTAATCTCCATTAAGTTCCTCAAATGTCATGTTGCACGTAAAATCCAGCACGGACTTGAATAACTTTCCTTTGAAAACAAGAGTAAATCCACAAGTGTTCTCCTAGGTCTTCTTTCTCTGACTGTCACCGGGTAAATCTGACGTTACGAGGAGTTACATTAGATTTAATTTCCCCGAGAGCTGTAAAGAGAGCAATATCTGCATAATAATCCTTATTGGACACATGCAAATCAAGATAAGTAAAAACATTTTGATTGGCTATCACTCTGTACTCGCAAAAGTCGGCCATTCTCATTCGTCCGTCTAAGAGGGGCAGGGCGTAGCCAGTCACGTTGGGTGACGTTGTTTTTAACCTTGTTAGCAAACTTTGCAGTGACATGTCAGAGCAAAGGGAAGCAGGGGATTTACCCAACTGAGATTCAACCACAATAATTATGTAACATGTAAAATAAATAATACAATTATACATAAATGCATAAACACCCTTCACATCTGATTAAAAAAGCATTTGAAACACACAAGCGAAATCGTGTTAGTGGATCATCAGTATGGACATTTCTGAGGTTTTCTGTGGGTAATGACATGATGCAAACCGTTGTTTTCTGTGCTTTAAAGGGGTCATATGATGCTGCTAAAAAGAACATTATTTGGTGTATTTGGTGTAATGAAATGTGTTTATGCGGCTTAAGGTTAAAAAACACGTGATTTTCCACATACTGTATATTATTGTTTCTCCTCTATGCCCTGCCTTTCTGAAATGTGTCGATTTTTACAAAGCTCAACGTTCTGAAAAGCGAGGTGTGCTCTGATTGGCCAGCTATCCAGTGCTTTGTGATTGGCCGAATAGGGAAATGTTACAACCCTTACCATATTGTGACGCACCTGTCCCAGTGCCATGAGACAAAACCAATAAAACCCATTACAAACGAGGAATTTGTTGCATCTAATGGGGACATAATTACTGATTATAATGACTTATACTGTATTTTTAAGTGTTGCGTTGTGTAAACATAAAACCATGTCTGCACTTGTGATCGGAGAAACGACAAACAACAAGCGCTACTCTACACTGCTCAAAACTCGCGTTTGAATCG